GTCGGGATGCGGCGCAACACGACGATTACCTGTCGACGGTTGTGACGGGCGCTGGCAACGTCGATCTGGAGGCACCGATTTGGAGGCGCGATGGAGGGGAAGCGGAAATCGGCGGCGGCGCGCCGGTTGGCGTTGCAGCGAAGCGATGGAGAGGGAGAGGATGGAGCGGAGCACAGTTTCTGGCGAGGGCGGTAGGTGAGTGATGTACGCATGACGGCGTGATTGACGGAGTGAGGCCGTGAGGGAGGTGGGAGTGACTTGGGATGTTGGATCTGTGGGAGACGATCTGACCGATCAATGAGAAATGAGGATGCTGATCATTTAAACATATTTGTTCCATATATGAGATGATGGAGCCTGAAACTAAAACAGAACCGGTCGGTGAGTGAGTGGGTGCACTGCACAGCACACGTACGTGTGGGAGTGGGCCACTTTGGATACTTGGGGTCTTGGGCCAGTCGGCACAGCCACCAGTATCCTCCCTGATTTTGCTTTTCCCCAACCTGATTCGGCTGGATCTAGACGCTTCATATCTTTTTTGAAGAACCGACGGTAGGAGATCTACCGGATATTACAAGAAGAAGAGAGTTGACCCTGTTTATAAGGAAAACCGGACCCAAAAACCTTACAACTGCACATTTTGCTAAAGGAAAATTGGCGAAACCTTACACAGAAGACACAAAAAGCTTGAGACAAAACGACCAAACCACAAAAGTGACCAAGGGAAGAGCAAGACCTTCAAGGCAAAGCCTAACAACGACAGAAGCCGTTGTCGACCTCCAAGGAGGGGAACAACGACAGAAGCCGTTGTCGACGCCCGCCCATAAACTGGACTGGGTTTTCACCCAAAGGGGGAGGGAGCCCACAGAGCAACACCTCCAAGGAGGATACGGCACTCACAGAGTCGCAGGAATCGATGTCACCGATCCTGGAAGACCAGACAGGGCTTTCACCCGAGACTCCCTCCAAAGGTGGATTTACAAGGAGCGAGAGCAAAAGTGTTTGTGTTATCGTTGCCTAGCTCATCGGCTAAGCCTGATGCAGTAGCTCCGACTCCGCCAAACACAAAAACTCTGTCACTGAAGATAAGTACACTACTCCAAACTCGGCACTACGACAGGTTCACTCAGTCACAGGGCACTAGAAGCACTTGCGAGGCCCGAGAGCCCTGACTATAGACAGACTAAACCACCTTCACGGACGAACACTTCTCCTCAACCACCGAAAGACTCCATGGCCGAGTCTGGAAGCAGACAGCCAAAAGAAGGGAGGAGCATCAAGGAGGGGAGGAGGCCTGGCCACCCTGAAGAGGAACTGAAAGCTGAAGACAGGGGCATCGAAGACCTCTGTGTCATCCATGTATCCAGCAAGGACCACCGGCCTTCGCAGGACAACCCTTACAGCAGCGATAAACCACCTCCAACTTCACCACCAGCACAGAGAGAGGAGCGCTGGGGTGAGAAGCAAAGCAACTAAACAACTAGGCAACAGAGTAGCCAGATAGGAAGCGAGGAAGGGAGACAAGGGTGGGGTAGGGGGAGGCGTCGGAGCTCACCCCCTTCTGCTTGCAAGAAGGAGCCAAGAGAGGAGAGGGTGGTTGTGGCTGCTGTCGACGCCGGAGGGGTGACGCCGTGACGGGGTGGGTGTGGGGGTGAGGGGCGGCTGGAGAAACGCCGGTGTCGCCAACACCCCCGGCGCCCCCAGCGGAGCAGCCCCGGCAGGGCCAGGCGCGCCTCGCCGACCGCCGGAGCTGGTAGGCGCCGCTATGCCGCCTCGTGAGTGCCGGCCTCCGCGCCGCCATGCGCGCACCGGCCATCACCCACGCGCGCGCCGGACTCCGCTGCCACTCGTGCACCAGCCGCCACCGACCGTGCCGCCTCCGCACGCGCTGCCCCCACGGCACCGCCGCCAGCACTCCGGCCGAAAACCGGAGGGGCTGGCCAGATCCGGCGACAGCGGCACCAGATCTACCGCCGCCTAGTCCGGAGGCCTCGCCGCCGCCTCTCCCCGACGCCGGCGAACGTCTCCTCTCCCGCGCCTGAGAAGGGACGCCACCGCGAAGAAGGCCCCGCCGCCGCCATCCTAGCTCGCCAGCTGGCTTTGCCGGTGGAGAGCTCCGGCGGCGAGGTAGGGGGAGGGGAAGGGGGACGGCGGCGGAGGTAGGGTTCGCCCCCCGTGTCGCCTGCGCGTGGGCGACGCGGGGGGAGAGAGAAGTCTCTTTTTCCAGCACACATAACCTGGATGCTCCATATTTCGTCGTTACTTTTCGAGTTATCTGTATTTTGCGTCACCTTTCATTATTAAAATTTCGGTTTAGATCAACCTTCAACTAATAATTTTAATTTTATTATCAGTTTTTTTATCCATCTATGTACGTGTCAACTTGTACTATGCCAAAGGAGTGGTCTACGTACGTGTGTTCATCGTTGTTGGGGAGCTGGTGTACTTTGATATACTTGGAAGGAGAGTCAGGATGATTCAAATTTTAAAATAAGGGATAAAATTACCTAATTCAAAATGAAAATGTGAGGTAAAAGATGGTCTAAAAAATTTCGGTAATAAAAAACTTGTTCAAACTAAAACGTACTCTTGCTTTTCCTAACTATATGTTAATATAAAATATTAAAAATTTAAATACATGAAAGTATTTTTCACATATTAAATTCTATTTTTAATTGTCATTTACAATAGGGAGGGGAGGCGGAGATTTGGACACAGCAAGGCCATTTCATGCAGAGAGACTCCTGATCAGTTCATTGCCAAAAAAATACAGAAAATGCTTTACACCGAATGTCCGAAGTGAAAAGAAATATCGGACGCTCTACCTCACGTGCTCCACACCCCATCGTCCTTCTCGCTCTGTTCCCCCATTTCTTCTCTCCCACTTGATATTCCCTAACCACAACTCCAAGGTTGCGACCGCCGCCAAAGATGAGAAGGTTGCCGGGAGCGCAGGTGCGTGGAGGTGCAGCCGGAGTCAGGGATGAAGCGTTGGCTGTCGGAGAGCACGACTGGTGCCGTCGTGCCGAAAGTGAGGAGGTGGTTGTCAGCTGGGGCGAAGCGAGCGGTGGTGGCAGCGAGGAGGCACAGCAGGAGGGGGATGGCGAGAACACTAGAGCTTCGGGAGGAGGAAGCCATGGCGGATTCGTGTAGGGGATTCGATGAAGGGGAAGAGGAAGAAATGGAGGCCAGCTGTGGATTGGCGAGCAGAGTTGGGGAGGAATCGACCGATCAATCAATACGATGTTGCCGCCGACGAGGAGGAGGTCGCGGGTTCTATGGTCCCGTCGGAGCCCGCGTGTCGAGGAAGAAGACAGATCTAGCCACCGTGTCGATGAAGAAAATGGATCCAGGCTCCGTAATAGAGAAAATGGTGGATCTATCTTTGTTGCATTTTATTGTATTCGAGTGTTTCATTCTCTTGTGTTCGAATGTTGCACATGACACACCATGTTTCTTCGATGTTGCAGTCAATTTTGTATCTTTGTTGCATTTTATTGTATTCTAGTGTTTCATTTCTATTGTGTTTGAATGTTGCACATGACACACATCATGTTTCTTCGATGTTGCACGTAGTAGGATCTTGATGTTTCAATTTGTTTGCATCTTAACTGAAACATTTTTCACCAAGTGACCATTTTTATCAAGTAATGAAACATCTGAAACAATTTTTGTTGAAACATTTTTTACTAAGGTATGGAACATATGAAACATTGTTTTATACACGGTGAAACACCGACCGGAGTTTTGACTAGGATCCGATCCCTAGTCGTCTCCAAAAAATACTTTATCATTTGTTGGTAAATTAAAACTTGGCAATGTCAAATTTTTGGTAAGTTCAAAATGTAAGAGTAGTGTTTAGTTTGACACCTTGCCAAATTTTGGTATTGCGAGAAGTTTATAGAATTACCAAATATTGGTAGGAATTGGCAATATTGTGGTGGTATAAGTCTCGTTTAGTTTGTTACCTTATCAAAATTCGGTAAGGTTGATTTTAGCAATAAACTGAACAAGCCCTACATACTCCCCCGTTTCAAAATAAGTTTATTTTTAATCCTTTTTATTTATCCTAATGTAAGTTTTTTCTAAAAAAAGAATGTATCTGAATTTTGTGAAAGTAGGGAATGAATACGTACTGGGAGTACATATATGGGAGTACATATAAAGTAGAGAATAATTATATTGAGATCTGATAAAGTCAATGTATTTTATTCTTCTTATTTGTATTGGTATTTATGCGATGGGTGAAAAATGAACGTGAGGGAGTAATTGCAAAGCAGTGAATGCAATAACGATGGTCCAAGGCGAAGCCTTGGATTGGTTGAGTGTTAGCTGAACTCTCTGATTGAATAGGGTAGGAAATGATGTCAGGTGAAGGATAGCAGGAGATGCTCCACTCGAGTTAAAAAGACTCACTTCAGCTTATATAATACCAAGGCAACTTGCTATTTATTGTCATTGCAATTAAAAGTGATAATAATTTTTTTCCCCAATAGATACTGAAACTATGGGCTCGTTCATTTCATTACTAAAATAAACTTTACCAAAATTTAGCATTTGAGATGAAAACAAACTAAACATGATTTTACCATTACTATCTTACCAAACTCTACCAAAATTTGATAATTCCATAACCTTCCACTAACAAAACTACACCAAAATTTGATAAGATGCCAAACCAAACAACACCTTCATACTTTTTTACCTCGTCAAAAAATTGGCATTGTCAATCTTTAGCTTCACCAATAAATAGTAAGGTTTATTTTGGCAAGGAAGTGTAAGCTCTACATCTTATTCAACAAACAATGCCATCCCAGGGCAAATTATCTCTAGAACCCAAGTAAAGTATTCACCCATTTCACTACCATAGTGCAACAACAGAATAGGGTAATAGTTTCTCACCATGTCACAAAGCCAATAATAAACATTGCACGGTTAAAGAAAATGCATTTTCGAAACAAACTGGCCCTGAATGCATATTCTCAAACAGTAAGCAAACAAGTTGAAAATCAAGCTGAAATTATCAAGGAAGATGACCATATAACGTGTGCCTACAGGCTTCAGTAGAATAGCAGAGAAAACATGAGAGATAATTGGTTAAAGGATCTTCATGAATGTGTTGATAACAAAACATTTTCACTTGACATTAAGAAACACGAGTTCGTTTACATGTTCTAACTGAGACATACGGGTTCTATTTTGCCTATAAGCCAAAGACACTATCACGAAAAAAAAGGGGCATTTCTACTTGGGACGTCGAGTAAATTGCCGGGTGAGATGATTCTGTATAAAATCGTCTGCCTGGCTGGGATACTTCTGTTTGATGTACTCCTTGATACACTTGCGGTATGAAAAATCTTCAGTCTCACCGTTTGTTCTAACAATAAAGAGGCATCTTGACTTCCTGAAATCAGGGTGCTTACCAACCTTCAAAAGCATGGCAAGATACAGGTGGTTAGAAACTGGCATTTTGAGGTGTAAACATCCAGAGAGGAATATAAAGTTGTAAAACATGTACTTCCTACCAAACACAGATCCAAATTTACTCTTGTAGGGAAGCATTTTTTTTTCTCTTTTCCATCCAAACTACATAGTAACTGAGTAATGGGGATACCATTAAGAGTGACAACATAGTAAATCCTGTTAAATTTGCTGTTGCAAAGGTGAACACATAGGACATCCCATGTAGCAAAAACAGGGTATCAAGCAAAACTAGAACATTTATTATTTGATTTGAACGTGTGATTAGACATCAATAAATTTCACAGAGAAGAGTATATTCACTACTAAATTAACTACATCAGTTACGCGTGTATTTGTTTAGAACATTTATTTGAATGATACTTCTTTGTTCTGTTATTGTGTCAAGATAGTCAATACTGCTATAATAGTTTAAATTAAAAAAAGAAATCCCTTAGTTTTGTGGCTTTATCTGAAATATCACTTTCACCAGCAGAGGTCATTTATGCCCTGCAGGCACAGACAACTGGATCAAAGTATCAAACTATGGCTCAAGGACTATAAATAAGCCCATGAGTAAATAGAACTCTTGCCTGCACATCTTAATTGAGTTTATGTGACAAGAAATTTAGACACACAGATATGATTGAAAATAACTTCACCATAGCAACTGTAGTATACGACTATCATGCTAGGCATTCTCAGCTTATCTATGTCAGGGATGTCGCAGAGACGCAGACAAGTAGGGCTATGGCTATTTGGAGGCAAGGGCTAATGTTGAAGAGACTTGCCAATACCCTTGGTCATGATTCATGAAAAAGACTGCCAGAAAAACAAGGAGATGTAAAGAAGGTAAATGTGTGCCAAAAGGCAAAAGGAACGGCTAGTGCAGACTCAGGTGATAAAACAGGAAGAAGAACCAACAGCAAGTCAATATAGAGGTGGATGAAAAGGGCACTTTTGTCCAATTCTCCAGCATGTATTGCACACCTGAGTTACATGGCTAAAGCCCTTCCAATATGCAGAAGAGAAGCTCTAAGATGACAAGCATAAGTGCTACTCCTACTTCGGTATTCATACTGTAACAGCAGAGTGGCGACAAGGCTATTTTGACAGCGGAAAAAAAGGAAAATTGTGCAGCATGTGAGAAGCCTAGCAGTAGTTTCATGCCCTCAACAGGAGTATCCTAAGGCTCAGTTCGTTTGTCCGGGTTCCCAACCCCTCGTTCTCGTTTTCCGCACGCACGCTTTTCAAATTGCTAAACGAAACGGTGTGTTTTTTGCAAAAAGTTTCTATACAAAAGTTGTTTAAAAAAATCATATTGTTTCGTTTTTGAAAAAAAAATAGCTAATACTTAATTAATCACGCGCTAATGAACTGCTCTGTTTTCCGTGCCGGAGAGAACCGTTCCCAACCGTGAGTGTCGAACACAGCCTAAGTGTCCCATGTGATCCAGTAGCAGTTGAGTGAAAGGGGTTCACTCGAATCAACAGGCCTCATGGTTCAAGGCTTCACGCTGGCATGCAAATGGCTTGCCAGTGAGACCCCTATCATCATGGATGATCAGTGGACCTTGTCCAGCACATCACATCACAGTGTGCAATGTTACTATTGTTGTTGTGCTACAATGACTGGCAATGCAAATTTTCCATTGCTTCTCTTCCTCACACAATAGCATGAAAGCCTTCAACAAGGGCATGGCAGGTTGATGCAAGGGCACCCCTAAATAGGTGACACAGGACCAGACAGTGATGGCAGCTGCAGCACTAGAAACGATGAAAGTTCCCACAGTTCTATATTTTAGATGTGGGATTGATGCCAATGTAAAAATATAGCTAAAAAAATAAATCTATGGCAAACAAGGCACAAATTCAAAAGATGCAACATTTGGGATTGGAAGAGATGCCATATAGATGACCTAATCTGGAGTGACTCATATTTGATGAATTGTTTGGAAACTATTGCCAGCAATTGTCGAGCTCACACATGCTCTTCTAAGCAATTTGCCACACAAGCAGGCTCATGACTGTGACTCAGAAAATCTATCTGACTTGAATGAAAATGAAAACTACAAAATGACTAGTATAATGTTATACCATTTATTTCTCCAAACTCGTTACGGACACATCTCATTTAAGAGTGTTTTCTAATTTATGAATGACTTAAAAGATTAGGAGTATAATGGGGTTGTCAGGCTCTAAATGCGGGGTTATTTATTGAGGATTAAGGAAAAGTGAGGGTCAGTGATCAGAATTCTATCAGAGAGCATAAAAACTTTTATGTAAAAACAAGCACAAAATGCTACTCCTTCTGTTTCAGAATGTAAGGTGTTCTCGGTTTGTCCTAAGTCAAACTACTTCCAATTTAACCAAGTTTATAGAATACATAGCTTCATTTACAACACCAAATTAATTTCATTAAATGCACCATTGAGTTTTTTTTTATAATATGCTCCCTCCATCCAAAGGAGTTAGACATATTACTTTTGTCACCAAGACCAAGGAGAAATTAACTCATGTTGTATTCTTGTGTAACAAAGATCAAGAAGTGTATGCATGCATGCACCAATGAGTATTAAGATGGCTCCTAGGATTCGATCAAACATTTAATTTATCTCTTTATTTAAATCTTAGATACATGGAGACTACAAATATGACTAACGTATTTAGAAAAACTAAAATATGAAATAAGCCTAACATTTTTGGAAGGAGGGAGTATTTGCTTGGTGTTAAAAATGTTGCTACATTTTTCTATGAACTCTGTCATCAAACATGAAGAAGTTTGACTTAGGACACCTTACATTCTGAAACGGAGGAAGTAGAAAGGTGTATATTCAGGCTTCAAAAGGTAGTTTTGTTATCTGTTTGACAGCCTAACTAAGAACTTAAACTCATGGCTTCTGTGGCACAGCAATTTATGATAGATGGCTTTTCCTGTACCTGGTGAATGGTGATATATAAGAATGCTGAAAGCATGATGCATGTTGCACGCATCAGCAGCAGGACTACTATAATGCCTCAAAGTATGCAAACTTTGATACTGTAACAGTATAACCCATAGACATACAGTGGACAAGATGAGCCTATTTAGAAATTCATCTCAGATAGAGAAGTTACTAATAACAAAACATGCTGATGGTTGAGGTCATAAAGTTTATTACTACACTCATTAAGATCCTATCTCTACTTCCTCCTACTCAAATAGCAACTTTTAGGGGATGGCACAGGTATTGAGGAGAGGGACAGAAATACTTGTTTGCCTTCTCAGGATGGGTGATGTCTAGGGACTATAACAAAGCCAAGAGGAGTAGTATGGATAGTTTAGTGGCAAAAGTTTACCTTTTACATGTCCTAGGTCTGTACATTTGGGACAAAATTTGAACTCTAAAACTTACTACATTTTGGGACGAAGGGAGTATTGATCACTAAGGTAGTTTATTTAGCATCACAAACTTTTTAAAAAATAAATTCATGAAAAAAATCACTCATGCAGGCCTCATTTAAAGATGAAAATTATGTGCTTTGACAGGATAACAGAATGAGAAAAAATTAGCTATGCTTGACATGCCTTTTCTGGTAAATAGAAGGTAGAAATCACACTGACTCACCATAATAGCATCAACCCCACAGCCAATCTTATCTTCAGAAGTGGGGTGGTGAACAAGAACCTTTTCTACTACAGCCTTTTGATCGTCTGGACTTAGAAATGCACCATCTCCATATCTGTTATAACAGAATGTCAGAAAGCAGGTAGATTTGATGACAAGCATACAACAATAAGTCCTTGCAAATCTTTACAATTAGAATGCATCAACTTGTCATTATATGGTGCCAAATTTTAAGCCATACCATATAACTAGATAAGATCTCGCGCATAATTTCAGTGACTTGCATTCTGGTCGATCAAAACTGGCGCAGCAGTGTGAATGTATTAAGGGGTATGCTCATCCATCTAATGGTATGATTTAAGCTGATGTTTGGTATGGATTAAGCAGTACTAGCGTGTATAAATCCATCCTAGGTAATCAGACCAGATTCAGCTGCAGCAAAGGATTAATCTTCAGCAGAGTTTCCTGGTCCTATTAGAAATTCTAGTTGCTCAGACAGAATATTTATATTTTTGAAGAGTTTTATAGAAGTTTGCAGTAATTTTTACAGAAATTTCAAGGGTCTTTTGCTCCACATACATCGGTAACAAGCAGATTATCACAACCTGAACTAGATGAGAGCAGGGAACACAGAATGTAGTTGACTGAAACAGGAGGATGCAGAACAGAGAGCCTGTGCTTGGATGGAGCCATGGTGTCAGTGTCACCCACAAACAAGGTCCAGAAGAGTAGATGCTATGTTCTTGAATAGTTTTTTTTTTGAGTATTTCTTGCTTAAGCCTACTGAAAGTTCTTGACAGCAGCCATTCTAGAATGGAAACTCAAATAGTAGCAAACCAAAGATGCTAACAAATATGAGTCACAAGTCACAAGTGGTTTGTAATTATCTCCTAATTCATTGCTAAGCACTCATACTCGACTGCCTCCTAGGCATCACGCTCATGGGCTCAACGTTCAGCCGGCTGGCAAAGCCTTGTGCACATCCAGCTGCATTGCCGTGACGTGTGTCCAAGGACACTTTTGGATCTCGGCAGCCAACCTAACCCTGAAGAAAATTATTTTCTTAAAGAAATACACGAGATGTTTATGGTATATGATGAGGAGTCCTGTTGGATATTAGTAGTGAGAAATTATTTTTCATGAGGTTTCTGGTTCTCAACAAATGTGTTTACCAAGTGCTGTAGTAAACCTCGCATCCACCATCAATAAACTTAAACTCGCAGCGCTGTACTAAGTTTGTACTACATGTATGTTTCTTGTACTATGTTTTTAGAAAAGCTAAATCCCCAAATGACGCGAAAACCTAGAAATAGAAATCCTAATGTCATTGAGGGTACGTGACGTAGTCTACAAATTACATTACTCGATCGATGTTGTTAATTAATTGCTACGGGTTTCCCATCTATCGGATTGTACGAAATGATACAAGAGAAAAGCAAGAAGAAAGTGACGCACCTGGCGGAGTGGAGGATGTCCTTGACGAGGTCGACGATGGGATCGATTTCGGCGAGGATCTCCGCCTCAGACGGAGCGGGGGAGGAGGAGGAGGGGAGGGCGCAGAGATGGCGGGTGCGGAGGGGTAGGGGAGGGCGGAGGAGGCGCGCGGCGGCTCGGGAGAGGACGGCGGCCAACGCCATGAATTTAGGAGCTGCTTCTGCTTGTGCTTCTGCTCCTGCTTGGTTGGGGTTTTGGTTGGGGGCTCCAGCCGCCGGCCCAACACAAGCATCACCCAAGAGGGTTTTCGTTTGGTTGGGCTGGGCCAATTGGGCTTATGGGCTTGCTTCCTAGGATTTGGGCCCAATTTTAGGCACTTTTCCCTTTCTTTATGCTTCTCTTCTTCTTATCTTTTTATTTCCCCCCTTCGTTTTATCTATACCTATACCTAATAACTACTAATAACTAAAAAATATGTAAGATTTCCGGGATGATATATCCGTCGTTGTCATCATCCGCTACGCAATTTTTTTCCAAGCGAAATGGACTAAAACGTAGGGTTAGGATAGAGCCCAATTCCAAGCTCGATATGAAGCGAATTTGCTCCTATTCATGGGAAAACGGAAAGAGGAGGAGATAAGGATAGAAACCTTTAATTAATTTTGGATTATCTCAAGGATACGGCCGGATTTCACAGAGGAGACAGTTTCTGGCTACGTCGGGCACCCGAGGGAGTCCGAACGGAGGTTAGAGATGACACTGTAGCAATGGATCCACGTGACAATGAGAGGAAGAGCAGGAGGAGGCATCGGTTGCTTGCTGGGCCGAACGTGCGCTTGCGGGCTGAGGCGGAGGAGAGCATAATGGGGGAAAGTGGGCTAGCTTGGGCTGTGGGCTGAGGAAGAAAATTGGCTGAAAATGGCCCAAAAAGAAATGAGCGTTTTGATTTAGATTTTTATTTAAATAAATACTTAAATGGTGTTTGTATTATTAAAATTAACAATTTACATCTAAAAATTCTGAGAAATTTTCAGAGAGTATAATTAATCATAGATAATTTAACAAAAATTAAATCCAACCATACAATTTTATTTCTCACACTTACTTTACTTGTAAATTAATTTAATTCTATACCTACCTACTTAGAAATACCCCAATATTCAATGCATCAGCATTCTAGTACTAATAAAAGATTTAAAACAAAACTATACACTATGCAGACTATGCAGTCTTCAAAATTGAAATCGATGTCTCATTTTGTATGTGTTGGTATAGTATATGCGGAACGTATTTGATTACCTGCATGCATTAAGGACATTCGTGATGTACTGTAAAACGTAATGTACTGTAAAACTAGTTCATGACCAATATAATATTTCATTCAGCCCTCTAGCAATATCGTGGAACTACTCCATAGAAAAAAAATAGCAAAAAAAAAAAGCAAAAGCTATCCATACCACTATGGGTAGACAAGAAGACAATAAAAAATCATAGATCGACTGTGACATTATTCATAAATATTAAACAAAAAAAGTTAGTAACCGTTGCACAGGTAGCTCCATTCATCAATTTGCTAGAACACAACTAGTTCCAGTGGATCCCTCTCCTAGAAAAATCTCAAGTTTCACTAATCTATCCCCAAACAAACTTCGAGAGTAGTTACCATGTCTCTCTCACCTCATACACCTTAATCTCAGTTTATCTTCACATCACTAAATTATCAGCAAAACTTCAACCCTTTTGGTCCTCCAGTGAACCAGCCACCCTTTGGACCCTCTTCTCCAAGATTTCAAGGCGTTCAACACCAAGGAAGGCATGTAGTTTCTCTTTTTTGTCTTTGCAGGGTATGGATGAAAACTCTTTTGTACATGAAAACTTTGAAAGCTTTATGGAGTATATTGCAGCCCGTTGGAACCCGAGACACATACGATGAGCATTACTATGGCGGCTCCGGTTAGCCTAACAACAACACGAGGGATTTTGTCTGGAGCAACCATCTTCACAATCCTAAGGCTATATATGAATTCTTTTGCGAACTAAGTGTTGGTACTTGTTACGGTCACAGATAAATCCACAAGCGCACGGATACCGCTGTAGCATTTCATCTTACAGTATTATAGGGTATCGATCGAATCACATGGAACGTGTGTGTATATGAATGAGATTCTAACCACTTTTTTTACACTCGGGCCTGTCCGCGTCGCACCTGTCCCAGGGGCAACCCGGACGGCAAAAATCCTCCACCGCCGCCCCCTCCCTCCTCCTCCCCTTTGCCTCGCTGCCGCCCGAGCAGCTTGTCGGCAAAACCGGACGGCTGCAAGGACGACGGCAGCGGGGCGCAAGCTCTCCCACGAGGATGCCCAGCGGCGGGAGACACTGGGGGCTTCTCGGCGGCGGCGGGTCGCAGGAGGTGACGGCCGGATGGTCGGCACGATGGATCCGGCCATGCCGGATGCGGATCTGCTTCCCTCGACGATGGATCTGGCCTCCCGCCAGCCAGATCGGGTCCCGGTGACCCCGACGGCGGCCAGAGGAGGAGCGACGTCCCAGCCTTGCTGGGGCGGGAGCTGGTCCCCTAGCTAGAGTGGGACCGGTCGGCTCCGACAATGGTCAAGCTTGCAAAGATGGTGGCCGGCGGAGGCACGGGGCAGCGTGAACAGGCCACCGGCAGCAACGGTGATGGCAGAAGCCCTGTCGTCGAGAGGAGGCAGACGTGGCCGTGGAGTCGCCGAGTGGTGGCAGGGATTGGATGCAGGCACGGCCGTGGAGTGACCGAGCAGTGGCAGGCAGCTGGAGACAGGCGCGACCATGGAGTTGCCTAGCGGTGGCAAGCAACAGGAGGTTGGTGCGGCTAGCAGCCTGGCAGGAGGCTGGCGCGGCTGTGGGCAACAGCGGCGACGAAAGGAGACGCCGCTGGGGCCGGTGAGACACGGCCGGGAGAATCGCGGCGACAACAGCGGAGGCAGCGCGCGCACGGAGGAGCGGCTGGCGTCGGCGGAGGCCGGTGAGGCGCGGCCGGTGGCGGCGGAGCCGGGCGCAGTGCGTGGAGGCACGACTGAGGTGCCGGTGCAGCAGCATGAGGCTTGCCGGCGTGGAGGTGGTGGCTGGTTGTCACGCCCAGAAATTCACGAACCAGAATTTCTAAGCTGAATATGCATTAAATCCTTGTCCAGAACCAGCCAGGGTACACAAACGACAATTGTTGACATACAGATCCACGTCTTACAAAAATAGAAAAGATTACAAATACAGCGGAAAAGATAAAAGCGAGCTAAACTTAGAAGCTTGACTTCTACAGCGGGGCGACTCCACTCCACAGGCAATTCTTGACGGCAGTGATGAAACCAACTTCGACAAGACAGCTCCAACTAGGAAGATCTTCAGCTCTGGTGTGGGGAAAAAGAGAGCAAGACTGAGTACTACCCACTGTACTCAGCAAGTCATACCGGAAGAGGAGGTATGATGCAGGATATATCCAAAGGAGGCTTAGGGTTCATTTGCAATAAAGCAGGCATTTAAAAACAGTAGTTGAAAGCAGTAAAAACAGATGTAGTAGATTAAGCCAGATTAACCAATCACTGTCCAACGCTACACCACGTTGCAACTGGCCCAACCAACCACCTGAACTACACCAGTTCATCAAACTAAACTAGGGGTGAGACTAATCACGGTGAATCTGGTTGATCGCTCATAACCACGGGCACGGCTATTCGAATAGTTTTACTCTGGCCAGAGGTGTACAACTGTACCCACAAGACACGATTCCACACATATCGCCATGCCCCGAAGTATCACTATGATACTGCAAAGGGGGAAATCGTGACAAGACCCTCCGCATAACCCTCCCCTAACCATCCACACCACGCTAAGGTTTCACCCCCACCCCTCAAAAGGCAGTGGGCGGCCCCCTCTTGCGCTGCGGTGAATTCGACAGTTGGACAATCGGACACCCCGGCTGACCGGTGCCTAGGAAAGGGTCGAGCTATACTTCAGATCAAGCAGTTACCCACTCCCTCTTGTGGTAAGCACGGTAAGTCTCCCAGGGTTTCCCGTGAACCGGTCCTTAACTGTCATGGGTGCGACCAGCAAAACCATACACCCACAGCCCACCATTCAGTGTATTTTAATTAACTAACACCATTGCGGTGGCATCAATCCAAAGCTATGCTAATAGTCAAAGTCTATGTAATAATGTTATCCCCATTTGTGTACTAGTTGAGCTAAGCATGGCTAAGCATTTCCTAAACCAACATCTAGTTATTTTGATACCCAAGTAATCAACGGCATAAGGTAAACAATATATGGATGAGTAATAGGACCCATCCCACATGACATTGTAAAAGAATGCAACATTTAATAGAAATGCGGGATATTTGTAAATTGGGTACAATATGATCAATTGTAATGCATGACTTGCCTTGCTCTCTCACTGATGAGACCACAGCAACGTCTTCGAGAAACAGCGGATCGACGAAACGGCCAAAATCTATGCGACAAACAAAGCACACAAGCAAAACATGCTATAAGACTACTGAAACAGGAAACAAAACCATTTTAATGGATTCTTTGCATTTTTCTTGATTTACTGAGACTTGAATGGACTTAAACGGAGCTTAGAAGAATTACTTATGAATTTTAGAAGATAATCTGTGTTTTTACTAATAAAGAAAAGTCCTTAATCAATTTATTGCGCAATAAAGCCAAGGGCTGATGTCAGCGAGAGGGGGCGGCGCCGGCAAGCGGGCCCTGCATGTCAGCGGCATGAGGCGGCCGGTCCACCGTGGACCGGGATCACACGAGTGGTCCACCGCCGGTCCACGGGACCGATGGTCCAGATTGGCCCGTGGCCAATCGGACGGCGCAGGCGGCGGCTAGGCACGGCTCGGCTCGGCACAAAGCCGGCCGGCCGGCCATGGGGAGCGGCGGCGGCGAGCGTGGTCACCGGCGGTGACCGGCGGCGCGGGAGACGGCGGCGACCGGCGCGGAAGCGGCTGCGCATTGCCGAAGGGCGGCGGCGCGACGGCAGCGGGAGGAAGGAGAGGAAAGGGGAAAAGAGGGGGCGGGAGGCCTCACCGGGGTTTCGCCGGCGCGGGAGGGAGAGTAAAACATAGAGTTTAGAGGGGGAGAAGGAGTCCATGGCGAGCGAGGATGTCGACCGAAGGCGGGGAAATGGAGGAGCTCACCGGCTCGCGAGGGAGATGGGGTTCTGGGGCTGATTGGCGGCAACCAAGCGGCGGCCGAGGAGCG